CAATGTTTAAGTGCAGGTGTCAAGATAGCAGAAAGGAAGTTAGAAGACATGAGTGAAATGGGGGAAAAAATGGCGGCAGCTCCCTGAGGAGCAGGAATAATGAGAGAGCAGTACAAGTAGTAGCAGAAGCAGCTCACCTAGCCACCTGTTCTAATGCTTTATAGATACCAAGTCACCTCGTCCTCCAGTCCACGAGACACACAATAGATTATACAGCCAATGGAATGGAGGCGCAGAGGTCAGGCAGCTCTCACAGCTGCTAAGTGCTGCAGATGGATGCAGGCCAGTGCTTAGTCACTGCCCTCTATTACTGGCTCAGGTGGGAGTCTAGAGCACAGGGGGAAGGGGAGCCTGACAGGATGAGGGAACGCTAACCACACCTTTCTATCAGAGGCTCCATAACACATTACTACAAACTTAAAGGCTTAAAACAACCACCATTGATTATCTCATGGTTTTATTGGTCAGAAATCTGGGCAGGCTCATTCTCTACTTAGCATCTTATAGGGCCAAAACCAAGGTGTCAGCAGAGTTAGGGTTTGCTCTTGGGACAAATATGCATCCAAAGTCATGGAGGTGAGCTCGGCGCCCATAGCTTAGTGGTGAGGGCACCAACCACATACACTGGGGCTGGTGGGTTCAAACCCAGCCTGCTAAACAATGACAACAACAACAAAAATAGCCGGGCATTGTGGTGGGCGTCTGTAGTCCCAGCTACTTAGGAGGCTGAGGCAAAAGAATTGCTTAAGCCCAAGAGTTTGAGGTTGCTGTGAGCTGTGACACTATAGCACTCTACCAAGGTGACATAGTGAGACTCTGTCTCAATAAAAAACAACAACAAAAAAACCCCAAAGTCATGGAGGTGGTCAGAATTCAGTTCATTTTGGCTATAGGACAGAGCTCGATTTTCTTGTTGGTTGTTAGCCAAGTATCTCTAATTGGAGTCGCTGTACCCTCACCATGAGGCTCCTTCATCTTTATCTTTAAAGCTAGAAATGGGCTCGGCGCCTATAGCTCAACTGGCTAAGGCGCCAGCCACGTACACCTAAGGTGGCGGGTTCGAATCCCCAGCCCGGACCCGCC